CATAGAGTGACCACATGGTGGACAAACATCGCCCAAAAGTCCTGCACATGGAGTATACAACAGAATACCGTAAATAATAAAATATGGCATTCATTGATGGGAAATAACTTTTGAAACAAAAACTGACCTTTCTTTGGACATCAAAAAACTGTGAGAAAAGTAGAGCCAAATAGAAAGCGGTCTCAAAGTTATAGTAAAACCATTCGCCGCTCGAAATGGTCTATAATTTGAAATAAAAAACAAAACAAAAACCATTAAATAAATCGATTAATGATACAAATAATAACAATTACGTGATGCGGATAATCGATGAAACAGTACATTGAGTCCCACATCCATGGCTTCTACACACCGGCAGTCAGTCAATGCATGCATACAAACAAATAATCGATTAGTAAATATGTTGTGCAATCAAAGTCATACGAGTGGTTGATAATTAAAAAATGATGGCAAATATCGCATGACTTACGTCCCAAAGAACATAAACGCCGTAAACGAAGGAAACGAAATAGAAATTACATCTCCATCTGAAATACAAGACATTTATCATGAGATTATGTTTTCAAATACAATGTATTATTTATGATTCAAAGTACCGGTACTATGATATCTTATTAGTACACTACTTATGTCATGAGTCTTATGAGATAATTATCGTCTAATCAACTATACCTTCATTTAAAATTCAAAATAAAAAATATTGATTTTGAAATAAAATACTAATTACTTTGCATTAAAAATGTTGAGATCACTCACAGTATAATAATGAACACATTTGTCACAAATGACTCGTTTAATTAAAACTTATAAAATGAGTGAATGAATAGAGTATCGGATTATTTAAATGAGTGATTGCTGGCAATAATTAGGAGATAATGAGGTGTTTGGATACTTGGATACTCGCTCATAGGACAGGCATCCATAGGACAGGCATCAATAGCAATACTTACGCGCTTTCAGTGAACTTCGAGAGCACTGTCGGCCTATTCTGTGCGCTCTTCAGACGCACCCATCTCTGCACCTGTCGTTCACTCCAATCCAATTGTTTGGCTAATCCTTGGATCTGTTCAACACATGCACAGAGACAGAGACACACATATTAACATCGCATGAATGGGCTAATGAATGGACAGTTAGACGCGAGACCTGTTTGTGACTAAACTTGGCTTTGGAGGCGCGAAAAGCGGTGTCGAGGAGGGGGTTATGCGGCGGACTCTTGCCGTGGTTGGACCGCAGACCTAAGTATATGCCGATCGGCGCATAGATATACCTATGGATGCCATCAACACAGCGTTAATACAGACAATCAATTAATTAATACAATCAAAAAACACTAATTATAGGGAAAAACACGTGAAATGAAAGTAAAGGAAAAAGTCGTGAAATGGTAAACAAGTGTGCGATTGAAGGGCTGGTATGGTATGGGATGTATGGTATGGGATGTCTGGTCTGACCTCTCGAGGGTGAGTCGCACTCCGATGAGGAGGACAGCAGTGATGAGTGAATAGTAGATGTCATTGAAGTGGCGGTAGTTGTCTTCATACTGAGCCCAAGTAGTATTGGGCGGAATCCACACCTTCTCCGACCAAAACACTT